TTAAAATATTTAATAAAAAAAAAAAAAAATTTTGAAATTTAATCCATATATGCGATCATCGAATTTTTTTGCAAATTTGATACGATTGAAAAATCTCGTAGCTTCTTCTTCTTTTAAAGAAATATGAATCAAATAATGAATGAAATACAAAAGAAATACAAAGAAGAAGAAAAAAGAAAAAGAGGAAAGAAAGAAGGTGTATTGAATCTTATTAAACCCAGCCCAGCGTGGGTTAATCGCGATTTAGCCAATTGCTCGAAATTACACAGTGTAAAATTAGCAATGCTCACGCTACTCGTCTCGAGAGCGGTAAAGGGATACGTACGAGGTTTTAACGCCGCTATCCTAATACTCGGCCGTAAAACCACGATCCCTTTTAAATCCTTCCCCATTCGATGGCGAGGCACGATACACGAGACACGGGCAACTCGCTCCAACTATAAAGTATAAAGCCACGACGCATCGTTTTACGACGTACAAGCTGCCTCCGTGTCTCCCCGGATCCGGATTCTATTAGGTTTATATCGTGCCCTCCTCGCGATCAAAGAGAGAGACACGCGTTGGGGATCTCCCGAATCAGTATAAGGGAGTTCCCCGTTACTACTGGAAAATTGCCTTTTTCTGCCGTGTTTAGCAATAGGAAGTGGGGTCGAGCAAGTTTTAAACAGCGATACGCGGTGGCTGATTGATACGATTCCTACGAATTATCTTCTCGTTCGAGTTAAATCGATCAGATGATTCGATACTCGCCATTATTATTATTAAATCTACCTACCCACTTCATCGATCGAAACACACTTTATACGAATTCTATTCTCTTCGTTCAAACGCATTTTTACCCTATCTTTACCATTACACACTCCTCTCCCTCCTTCCTTTCGTCGATCCATGTACATGCATCCTCGATCAACCCGAGCCAAAATCGTGCAATCCTCAATTTTATTCTTCCCCTTGGACCTTGTTTGGAATGGGGTAGAAGGGAGGCATGAAATCACTGATTGCGGCGGGACGCAAGAACGCGACGATCGCGAGACGAGGATGGATATGGTCGGGGAATAATAAGAATGGGCCGCGGGCCACGCGGATTCAATGCAGAGCAGCTGCGTAATGAAAGTATGATTGATGATCGGGCGGACGACGCGCGTCATTAGCTCGACACGAGGAGGCGCGACAAGAATCCTCTCCCGACAAAATCCTTTCTCTCGGAGTTGTTGTTGTTGTTGCGGAACGTGTTCTGAATTAGCGGCCTCGCCTAATACAATTCGAACGAGCTACTCTTCCCCTCTCCTTGGCGCATTCTTTCTCTGGGCTGAGATGGGCCGGTAATATTTCCGGATAAAAGAAGAACGAGAAATGACGGTGTTCGAGTAGCGATTGAGAGAAAGAGGAGGAAAATGGGATTTCGTGCTTGCATCGTCTCGTTACTTGAAACAAGTGTTCTTTTTATTTTTTTTTTTTTTAGGAATTGTTAGTAGATAGATTGAATTCTTGTTTAAATTAATGGTTCATGGAAGAAAATTTTATCCGAATGATTAGGAAGGAAAAAGTATAATTTATTATAAAAATAAATATAAGACGCATTAATTACAAAAAAAAAAAAGAAACAGATATTAATACCATACGAAGTTACATCTCGAAAATGAAAGCTAACGGGAGAAACGATCTCGACGAATCTGATATCCCGCGGCACATAGATCATCATCCTTAATGATTAATGAGTCCCGAGGCGAGTATCAGACACGCGAATCGCGGATACGTACGAGGACAATTATCGATCCGTTTGAAACGCGAACCGACCTCTCACCTGGCCGGCCGAAAGTCGAAGGAAGAAGGCCGATACGATCGACGGGGGAGCTTGATTTGAAAGACGCATTTATCTCGCTTCCGTTCGAGCAAAATCTGCCCAGGGGCCTAATGCTCCGGCTATTAAGCTTTAATGGACTGCTGATCGTCCAGCATCCTGGACGGAGGAGGGTTGAACGATGCCCCCCCCCCCCGGATGCCGATTCCCGAAGGAATCGGAAAAACGAGGCCGAGTTTTCTTCGGGAACGTCGAGTTTCGCGAAAATTTTTCTCCTCCCTCGTCGAGCGTCTCGTGAACGAACGAAGCGCTTCGACGACAACGCTTCCACCACGGGGGGAGGAGTGTGTTTGTTCGTTCGTTTGGGGGGGGGAGGGGCGGGGGGCAAGATCTCGCGAAACGCAAGGCCATCGATTTCAATTCGAAGAGAGGCGAATTCCTCTCCCTGTCTAGGAAGAGAGAGAGAGAGAGAGAGAGAGAGAGAAACGGTGGTACAACGGCGAAGGAAAAGGGGTTGCGAAGTGGCCGTGATCAGGATTGACTCGGGATGACAATCTAACCGTACACGAGTTTCCACTTTACTCCCGATACGGGCGGCGACATTTCGGCTCGTTAGCTCCCCTCCTCTCCTTCTCGCCACCACGGAATTACCACCACGCTCCACGTATCGCCCCCCCCCTCCCTCCCTCCCTCCCTTCCCTTGGTGTCGTGATTTGCTAGCGAAACACGCTCTCGGTTTATTCCGGATATTACCGATTTAAGAAATGGATGGAGGTTAAATGGTGGCGGAGCAGCCACCAGCAGCTAAGGAGGATTCGAGTAGAGATGTTGTTAATTTTTGAGCCACGCTTTTATCGAGGTCGATTCAATTTATATCGAATTATTTTTACATTTTCCAGCTTTGACAAACATTAAAACGTGGAATAAGGAATAAGTAAACTTTTCAGCAAGTAAAAGAGGATACATATATATATATATGTATATATACACACACACACACACTCGTCGATTTATATCTTCCCTCTTAAATCACCGGTGAAATCGGTCCGAGAGCACGGAATCGTCGTGGCGAAAAATCCGTAACTCGGTGGGTGTTTATGAGGGAGCGAGTCGTAAAAATACGAGCTCTCTCTCTCTCCCTCTTTCGTTTCGTTGAGTCGAGCCTCCTCCTCGAGCGCGTCCTCGAAAGGAGGAAACAAAGGAGCGTAACGAGGGAAAGGTGGAAAAAAGACGGGGGGTTGACTGGAGGGTTGAGAGGCATGTCGACTGGTCGTAAAACCGGGTCTGATCACCGCTACCAATTATCCCGCCGTTATCCGAACGTTATCCGGAACGTTATCCACCTTTTGCCCGGCCGACGGAACGAGCCCTCCCGCCATCATCCGAATCACTAGGCGGACCCTTGAACCCTTGAAGAGCAGAGAGAGAGAGAGAGAGAGAGAGGAGAAACCGTGTTACAAACCCTAACACCGGGGACTAGGTAACCGTTGTTGTCGCCTTTTACTGCAAACGAAGTGATTCTCTCCTCGTAAACGCGACGTCTTTACAGATTACACGGGCCGGAAACCGGAGGCTCCCGTGTTTTTCTTCACCCCCTTTCGTATTTCCACCCGCTTTTTTCCTCCCGCTTACGAATACCGGCGAGGGAGAATTTCCAATGCGTACGCCCGCTTGAATTTCGTTTCCTTCCGAGAGATAAAAATTGTTTCGAATTGCTGTAATTTTCCTTTCCTCTTTCTCTCTTTTCTTTTTTTTTTTTCGTTCAACTTGATTCAATCGTAGATTAATCGAAGATCGTAGATTAATATGATATTTCGTTTAAGAAAATTTTTATCTGGAAACAAATATATAGCAAAAGAGAAAAAAAAAAAAAAGAAAGAAAGAAAAAAAAATGAAGGAAAATTTCATATCAATCTTGTTCCACCATTCCAGATTAAGATTAAGTCTGTTTCTCGAGACAGAAATGACAAAGTGCACGAAACGAATTTCAAAGTCGTATCGTTAACGAGACAGAAAATGGAGAGGTTGAACGAAACGCGCGATTACGATCGACGATAATCGAGTCACGGGGAGGTTATAATTGGCTTCCGCCAAAGAAACAAAAACGGGTATATACCGTGTACAATATTGGTTCAGATTGTTCGTTTATTGATAAATGATCAAGGTGGAGAAGAGAAACGGCGCTCGAGAGAAATGCTCCTTCCAAAGCAGCCGAATTACATGATTCTCGCACGGACAACACGTCGCGGTCAATTCTTCGTCGGATTACATTACACGGATGAGGGTTGAGGGTTTGAATTAACGGGCGACGTGATTGCCAGTTCTCAAATTTGATTCTCTAGCATTTATAAACTGGGGGATCGATCTTACAATCTAACGGGTGATAAATCAATCGTAATGGAGTAATAATCCGAAACATGAAACTAGAAGAAAATATCATCCAATTACAAAGAGAGAGGATACTAACGGGCTAAATTAAGCTAATCGGATTTAAAAATTCTAAGAATAACCGAAAAACGTTCTAAAAGTAAAGGATATCAATATCGAAGGGAGAGAACGATTAGAAGTTTAGCCTATTTTTAATCTATTATCAAAAATTTTTTAGATCATATTCGTCTACCTTGAGAAACCTATTATTAATTACGCTTATTGATACAAATGATGATAAAGTAAAATCTTAAAATCTATATTATATATACTTGAAATAAAATATGCTTGAAAAAAAAAATTTATCAAATTTATCGAATACGATAGTTTTCACCATGTGTTTGTTCTTCGTGTAATGATTAAGAAAAATCTTAAAATATTAATAAAAAGCAAGGATACAAAACAATTGCTACAACAATTTACTATAAAGATTATAAGGATTGAACGATTGATACGTTTATTATTGATAAGTCGCTTAATAAAGAACGATTATTCGATAGGATGATAAGGTCTAATGTTAAACCAACGTGTCTATCTTGGGTTAATAAGAGGCATCGAATCCTCGATGAGCCCTTATGGGCGCGCGTAGGATTCCTTCGTTAGAACGCATCGATCTACGTCAACCGATAAGGACCGGGAGTGTAACCCTCGTGATAAGCCGGATAAACGTATCCGTGATGCATGCCCGGCACAGGTGACATGAAATTATACGCGTCTTCGGTGTTGTATGTGTGTGTGTAAGGGTCTGTTGACAGAATTGGGCTCGTCTTACCGGCTCGATTACTCTGGTCGATCATAGGCTGGACGATTCTACGCCTCGCGTTGATGAACCTGTAACAAAGATCAAACGTGCGAATTAGAAACGAACAAAATATCGAAATATCGAACTTATTACCCGATATAATTTCGTCGTTCGTTCATCGAACAATATTTGTATACGATTTTGCAATGCAATCTTCGTCGGATTTGGAAGAAAAAATTTCGGAAAAATTCTCTGTCTATATGTATATATATTTTCATTAAATATCGTGATTAAATAATTCGAAATATGGCGAGACGTTACGGATTAATTCAAGGCACGCGAAAATTAACAGATTTAAATAACCGGTCCAACGTTTGACTAATACGATTTTTGGTAATGTTCCAGAAACGTGGCGACACCAGCAACAACAAGAACAGTTAAATCGTACGGAAACAAGTATCCATTCCAATTATCGTCCGTTCCAAGTTTCCATCATTAATTCCACCCTCCTTGGCTACCGATAAGAAAATCAACGTCCCTCGCATTCCAAAACCGCCATCTCGGACGAGAAATATTTAAAAATATCCTCTCTGGATTTATTCCATCGTGCATTTCGAATGCAAGCCGCGCATTAACTTAAAACGTGGAAAAATAGGGTCGAGATCAGGAGGTCTGATGACAAGGAGAGGGAACGAAATCTTCGTCCAACATCGGTCATTTAGCCATCCCTTGGCTTGGGGTGGGATCGGCTAGCTGCAACGACAAGAAATCTATTCGGGTAATCAGAGATAACGATAGGCCAGTCAGGTAGGGCAGACGTATTCATGGCTCATTATGTAGATCAGTGGATCATGGGCGGCGGGCATTGGCCGATCGGCTTGATAAAGCTCGAAAGCTCGGCCGGCATTCGCGTATACGTACGTCGATGTATCGTTCATCTCAATTTGGCCGAGTTCTGGGCGGGCACCGTCGATATTTCATCGGCGTAAGGTCGGTAATTGTCGGACGTAATTTCCGCCCGAATCGTGTATGTTAATTTGACGAAGTGGCCGAGCGAAATGCACGCTCGAAAAGAGAACTACTCGTGCAGGTGTCTCGAACTGTCTTCCGTTCTTGAAAATTTTTCACTTTTTCTTTCCTTCTTTTTTCCCTGACGAACGATCCTTCGTGATATTCGAATCGAGTTTTTTAATTTTCTTTATCGTATACAAAGAGCAAAAAGAATCGTAAGCGAATTTATTTACGAAATTACGTATGAAAAATCGCCTTACGATATAATTATATAGACGTACGAATTGTATTTGAAATCTAACAATTTTTCTCTTGATTTTTCTCTACAGAAAACACTTCTAATATAATAGTTCAACGACTGTAAATTAACACGAATACATTCTTCGAGAAACACGCGACTCGTTATATTCTCGAAACAAAAAAGAACGAAGGGAAAAGGAAACACGTTGTCGGCGAACGTCTATCGATAGGAGGAGGAAAAGAAGCAGGATCCTCGATACGTCATTAGCCACGGTGAAGGAGCTTCCGTGCGAACGCTTTCCAAACAATAGATCTGCGGTCTATTTCGAGTTTGGTAGAGGTCCAACCGAGTGGTGGAGAGGCGGTTCGAGGCCGCGAAAGAAGAGGAACGAAGAAGGAGGGGGTGGGCGAGAAAGGAAGACAGGCGAAAGGGCGTACGTCAGCCAACGTCAGCGTCGCGGCGCCCTAATGGGCGCAGACGCCGGAAGTGATTGGGTTTCTGCTCGACTGACTCGTGAACGCACCCCCTTCTCATCGTAGAAAACCATGGTTCCGATGGGTGAAGAGAAGAGAGAGAGAGAGAGAGAGAGAGTGGGAGAGGGAGAGCGTGGCAGCTGCAACCCCTCTTGTTTCGCGTCGCATCTTTCTTGCGTTCGGTATCACGCCTGGCCGCTTCCTGGCCGCCCCAGAGTCTTATGAATAATAATTATTAAACTCTGCCTCGATGCGCTCGCCCAGTCGCGAATGGCCAACACCTCGAAAGCGGAAACCTTCGACTCGAAGTTTAATTAACAGGAACTGGAGAGGAGCAACTACTGGAAGGAGTTGGAATATCGTGGGATTAAGAGATATATATATATATAAAAGATATTTTTACCTCCGAGATCTTTCATCTTGATGAAAGATGAACCGAATATGAAAATAATAACGCAAACGCTTCAACTTTGGCCAAAAATTCATCGACGAAGAAGGGGGAGGGAAGGAAAGGGAAAGAAATCGTGGACACAAAGTGGACACGAAACGCGAAATCGTCGAGTAGAGTGTCTCGTGAGGTGGAGGGCAACGGGTGTGTAAACGCGCGGGAGGGATCGCCTCCCCTCAAAGTCAAGGCCTCGGATATCGTTGGATGAAAGAGTATCCCTGCTTGTATAAACCGAGGGCCCCTTTCCAGCCCCCAAATACTCCTAAACGCCTCTGGTTCCCCTTTGGCGGCGTAGGCAGCGTGTCACAGCCAGCTGACTACCTCTGCCAACCCCCGCGCCCACCCTCCTGCCGACCACCCCCGTAACTGAAATATCGCCCGAACAATGGCGCGCACAAGAACAGAGACGGAGAGAAGAGGAGAGGGAAAGAGAGAGAGAGAGAGAGAGAGAGAGAGGGGATGGCAACTGCCCAACCGCTTCTCCTCTCTCTTCCTTCGCCCTTTCGTGCGGAATGGGGGTTGGAAACCGGTAAAAATATCTTCGCAACCGGAAAACTTAAGCCCGCCGCGCGTAGAACGGACAGGATGAAATTTTACAGTCGAGGTGGCGGCTGGCAAACGGTCCTGTCATCTCTTGTTCCTCGTCCAAGGCTGGTTATTTATAAGTATCGTGATTTCTTTCGTTTTTGGAACGTTCGATCGATCATAACTTCTCTGATTCCTTTCTTCTACTCTTACTTTCTGTATTGGATATTGTAAATTAGAAATTAGAAATTAAATATTGCTACGTTGTCTTAGCTACTTGATCGGTGAAAATAAAGTAATACGAAAGGTTTATGATGTTGTTTCAAACACTTAGCAATTATCGTATCGTGGATAGTAGATTAAATCGATATTAAAACATTGGAAATTCACAAGTGAAATTCATGCCTATCTAAATCAAAAATGGTCGAGTTTTCCATGTGGGAAATTAGTTTTATCGTGGTTATATTATCGCGTTTAAGATAGTCCGTCTGTGCTCTCGAAGCTCACGGATGCGCTTTTTACGGCTTCGTTATCGCGAACGATCGTAATGGGCCGGTAAAATTATCGGTTTACGACGGATCCAACGTTGGAAAGCGTTAAGGGAGAGGCCATATTGCGCCAACCCCCACGGGATGACAAAACACTTTTCAACGCGCCCTCGTCGCCGCTTTCAGGATTTTAATGCAGTTTTGATTATGAAACCGGAGGGGGGCGTCTAGGTTTCGCGGCGTGAAACAAACCCAGTCACGCGAGGGGCTGGATGAAAAGCTGGATGACTGACTCTCACACTCGCCTCGTCATCCTTTCGAATTTGAATTTTTCAAAAAATTCGGTTTGGAATATCTTTATAAATATGCTTAACGAAGCCCTCTCCGTGGGATGAGCAATTATCGATTATTATGGAAGAAATTCGATTTAATTATCGTTTTTTTAGATACGAATGTATCTTAAACATGTGTATACGTATATATGGAAATTGTTCGAATCGGTCAAGTTCAAGTTCATCAGTTAGGCAGCGAAACGAGAAGAACATATGACATCGAAAAAGGCATAAAAGTCAGAGGGTGTATCCCGTATAACTTTCCGGCACCGTGACGAAATTTAGCGAGCTCCGTTCGCATATATGAATAATACTCGAATTTGTTTGTGCAGATCTACATACTCTATCGGATTCGATTCATACGGTTTCGTATGAAGGAAACCATGTAACGAATAAAAGAGAGACAGAATATAGAAGAACTCCTTTAAACAGTATCAATAATTTCGAACAAACTATTACAATACAAATTTTCTCAAATAAAGGATACTTCTTCGTATTAATTCATTCCTCCTCGAATTCTTCGCCATTTTCCTCCGTGGAAACTAATATAATATTACCACAGAATCATTATATCAAGAGAGGAAGAATACTCGATCCAACTTTTCAAAACGTTCAATGTTATTCGTTTTTTTAGAAAAAAATTGTGCAAGCTCGATCGCGTTAAACGATGGCCGTGCACCGTCGAGAGTTTCTCAACGCGGTGGCACCGCTCGAATTCGTTTCGCGGTGTGATAGAACAGCGGTGGTAACGATGATTACTGTCGCGCTGGCAACATTTACTCTCCGGCGGCGCTCGCAATTATCGGAGAGCTTCCATTAGTTAACTGCAGTCGATACGCGCGGTGCACCGGGGTCCTCGCATCAAAACATCATTACTGCACGAACACGGCCGGCGATAGTCAGCCCGGCCAGCAGACCGAGAGCTGGTATTGGTAATCAATTTCGCCGGTGTACGTAGAACCGCGGACTAATGCGACGCGAACGGCGAGCTTTCGCATTAGCGAGGATCGAACAGCCGTCCCCGTGATCATTGCCCATTACAGAATGAATCGAATCTCGGCTGTCGGTGAATCCGCGAAACCTGCGCCGTGTCGAAGAACCCTTCCTTCCGTGTCGCTTCGTTCGAATAAAAATTTCACCGCTCAAGTCCACTCTCCTTTCGTGCATCGAGAGGTTGTGAATAATAATAAAAATGTAACAAAGTTTGAAACTTTGTTATTTATTTAAAAGTTTACCAATACTAAGAAATATAGGGAGAAGTTTGAGTATTTTCGAGAATACGTGAACGTATTGGAAACGGAAGAGGGATATCGTTTAGCCGTGCACGGTTAGAATTCAGTGTCGAAATCAGGACGAGAAAGAGAAAGGTTATCCAAGAGGAGAGGACGATAGTTGGTTGCTTGCGACCGATAGAGTCATAAAACAGGCTCTTCCACGTCGAATTTTTATGCGGCCATTCGAAACGCGCACCTTTCACGACAATTTTGTTGCGCCAAAAAAGAGGAGGGAAAGAGAAGTCCGCGCGGGCCTAGCACGGACGACATATCGAGGAGGTGGTTGTAAATCCAGCC